TGTTGGTGATGGCAAGGGTTTCTTCGTTGAGCCTACTATTTTCACCGATGTCACGCCCAAGATGCGTATCTACCAAGAGGAGGTCTTTGGTCCTTTCGTGGTGATTTCCCGATTCAGCGAAGAGAAGGATGCTATTGAGATGGCAAATGACTCCACTTATGGTCTTGGAAGTGCTCTGTTCACGACGAACTTGACTCGCGCTCATCGCGTGGCTAAGAAGATTGAGGCTGGTATGGTCTGGATTAACTCTAGCAACGATAGCGACTGGCGCATTCCGTTCGGTGGCGTGAAGCAATCTGGCATTGGGCGTGAGCTTGGGGAGGCTGGTCTTGCTGCTTACTCGAACATCAAGGCTATTCATGTCAACATGACGTCTAAGCTTTGAGAACAGGACTCCGGGTGCTTTTGAATCTAGGGAGGATATATTATATTGTACATGGAAAAATTGAACACTTCTCGTATGACAAAAATGACCAAAGAGAGCAGTCAGGTGCGAGAGGTGAATAGGTCGATTTCTTTTACTGGGTATTGATGGTAATAACTAATTATTAGAAGTATAATTTGTAGTGACAATGCAGTGGTCCTAGTAGTCTGCTGGCATTGATTCCTCAAAGCTCTGGAATTTCATCACCTCGCCAGGTTGCAGTTAACCGGGTGAGTGTGAGAGATGACCATAATGATATCAAAATAGGAACAGAATATGGAAAAGTCAATCGCGAAGATATGCAAACACTTTTGACTCGCCACCTGGACAACTAGTACATCTAATATCAGTTATTACTAGTAGCAACCAGAGAACTTCATCGTCAAGGTCTCAAAAGTCTCGGAATTTTTTCGAGGTCGTCAGGTTGTCAGGTGAGTAATAATGGGTGGTGGAGTTCTACTAGTAGATCATGGCAATTACTCGTCGCATTTGTGACTAAATCTTCATCTCGAATTTCTTTTCGGTTGTCAGGGTATCAGGTGGCTGACGATAATATATTCCTAGGAGTTACTAGTAGCTACTAGAAACACTGAAAAATGTTGGAGAGTCGAAAATGAACATCTTTGAACAAGTTGACTTTTGGTTAGGACAGGAGATATTATAGCAAGGAGATTTCCTAGTAGTTAATAGTAAAAATTGAAAAGCCATTCAGGGCAAGCTGGCATTTCGAGGGCCAAGAAAGGTCGTAACTCTTTGAGCTCGCAGGGTTGCAGGGCGATTGATAGATAATAGTAAAATCTATGAATGATTCCAAAGCCAGGGGATCCATTGGTTGTTTCTTCCTCATATAGCGCTCCCGTAATATATAGCTCCTCTTCGCACCTATATTCTACCACTCTCGTGTTCAAATGCAGTCTGACGTAGCTGTATCTAGATATCACTCTCGACAGCTCTACGGGGCTCATCGAGTACTCAATTGATAACGCTTCTGTCTAAACCAAATCCAAAGCTGTTCTATATACACGTAGCATCCATGTTTGCATATTCCCGTTTAATATCCCCGAAAACAAATGGTTTATTTGATAAATCCGAGTTCACAGCCAACCCACATATTCTATATGGAGACGCTAATCAACTTCGTTCACAGAAACCCATCATCAGTCTTCCTTTTTTGGCTCAGGCAGTGGATCATTTGCTACCGCGTGGGCCTGAAGAACATGCGGAATGGATTCCTCGGTGTTGAGATAGGTGTGACTGCCCTGGATGAACCAGAACAACACGGCGATGACAAGCATGACGCCAAACACGCCAATGGCGTAATTCATATCACCGCCCGAGGGGTTGGGCGCACCAGGGAAGAAAAAGAAGACGGTTGTCACACAGCAATACATAAGGGAGACCCAGTTTACCGATGCGCCCAGTCTCCCAAGGCTGAACTGGCCGCCAGGTGGGAGCTTGTCGCGGCCCATCAGCAGCAGAGTCATGATGGGCAGCCCGTATGAAATGGTCAGGGCGATGGTACTGACGCTGAGGATCGCGCTCAGCACTGTCTCTGCGAACAGGAACAAGACCCCAACCAGTGCTATAATACCTCCCTGAAACCAAAGTGCCCTGACGGGGGCTTTCCAGTAGGGACTTACTTCCGATAGGTAGGTACTGAAGGGAAGTCCACCGTCGCGGGCAAATCCCCACGTGAGACGGGATGCTGTGGTGACGATGCTGATTCCCTGGCCTAGACCGTTCGTGATGAACAAAGCAATTAGCACTGCACCGCCGCTTTGGCCCACAGTCTCTTGGACGAGTTGCATGAATGGCAGGCCGCTAGGCGAGTCTACCACTGTTTTCACCGTTTGAATACAGAAGAGGCAGACCATCATCAAGATAAAACCGCTGACCGCTCCGGAGATCACGGCAAGGTAAATCACTTTCGGGGCATTCTTGCGGGGCGCAGGAATCTCTTCCACCAAGTGAATAACGGCATCAAATGCAGTCAGCCCATACGCAGCCTGGACTAGGCCAATGAACCAAACAACCCCATCGGGCCAGCCGGTTTGGTTAATCCACTTTCCGAATGCGAAAGAGGCAGGCTGATAGGAGAGACCTTCTTTCGTGCCCACTGAAATAAGCAGGGCAAGGCAAAAAACAAAGAATAGCCCAAAGAACCAGACTCCGACAAAATTGTTCAGCCACGGCAGGAATTTCTCCTTCCGACAACCCATCACATTGATCAGTGTGACGGCGAAGACACACGCAATATAAACCACAAACTCAAGCCACCCCTTCGACGCACCAGTCCAAGTTGGACTGAACATAACCTTCATACCGAGAAGGAAATTGGTCATGAACGCCATCTGGGAGGCAGCCAGCGTCCACCATCCGAAAACATTAATCCAAGCACACATGTATGAGAGAAATCGTCCGAAGCGTGAGTCCCAGAGACGGTAGACCCAATATGCCTGCCCCAGAGCAGTGGGCATGCTGCTACAGATCTCGCCCAGCGATAGCGCGACACAGGTATTGCAGAATGTAACAAGGGCCAGTCCCCACAGGATCGAGACAGGGCCACCGTTCATCAGACCGTCTGAGAGGTCCTGTGCAAAGGTCGACCATGTTCCCAGTACGCAGAATGCCAACGCAAGCATGCTCCAGATGTTAAACTTGCGGGCGAGGATTTGCTCGTGACCGAATTGGGCGAGGTCGTTGGCATCTTGCGTGCTTTGATCGGTTGGCTTGAGGGTCTCGTCGGTTTCCACGTCCATCGTGAGGTACGAGAGGGTTGGCAGCGAGGAAAGGGCGTGTTTTTGAGTATTCCCTCTAGGGTCATTTCCCAGCAATGTAATTGACGCTGTCGTGAAAATGAAACACTTGTCTTGGGCTGTTTCCTGTATACTCCTTCTAAAGGCGATATATCGGGTCCAGGAATGGGGTCACCGGGGCAATTGCGGAAACTGGATGTCCCGCGTCCCCATTCACAAGTCCCGGGGTTTTGCCATTTTTCCTGGGGAACCCCATGGGCATCGGCCTCCGTGGCCATTGAGAGAGGCACGTCTACTGGGGATTCACCGAGCGTGGCCCACATGGTAGATTCAAAACATGGAGGCATTTTACACGATTAGGCGGACACATAATAGAGGTCTGCGTAGAGCTCCAGTTTTTTCCCTTACCCCACATCCCACAAAGGCTGAAGATTCCCCCTCTGGAAGGTAGACGCGGATTGTTATGTGTAGTGCCGATGATATCAACGGTATTTGGAGATCTGCTCGATATCTGACTCCAGAGATTGCCGGGGAAGTTTCTTTGATGCCCGATTCCGTGACACACAGCTTCAACTCCTCCCGAGAACGGGGTTAGTCGGGTTGATGTGGCGGCTGCACCCCCTGCGAGTGTTTAAACATATAACGGTCGGAAAACCTCGATATTGTCCCTCGGAATTGACAATTTGACTCGCTATCTTCACCTTCAAGGCAGATTAGGGTTCTCCGAAGAAATGTTAGAAGTGTTGGAGAGGCTGAAGAAGACAAGCTCGTTTTCCTGCATGGACCTTCCAAAAACGGCAAGCCCGCATTAAAATCCGATCGACTTTTAAACTGAACGTCCCATTACACAGAATCATGAGATACCTTTTGGAAGAAGCGAGGCAATTATGGAAACATATCCTTGTCAACAGCCCGGGAAGCACTCCCCATAGGAGGTTAGAATGCATTATTTCCCTCACTGAGATCTTTGTTCGGCCAATCACAGTGCGAGGATGCGCCTAGCACAATGCTCGCACGAGTATATATGAGTGAATTGTAGAACTTCCTGGATATTTCTATCCTTGTCCTTTTTGCCTTCATAACAGTCCCTCAGTACCATGCCGGCGAGCGAGAAGCAGAAGGACGTCTCCCACCGTCACCGCTCTTTCAAGGGGTGCTGGAGTTGTAAGAAAAGGAGGATCCAGTGCGATGAAGCACGCCCAGCCTGCCAAAAATGCTGTTCCCGGGGTCTTCGTTGCGAGGGGTACGAGATCAGATTGCGCTGGGGGGCTGGTATCGCCTCTCGGGGGAAATATTCGGGCGCCGAGAAGCCAGTGAAGGAATCTATACCCCCACGGTCGAAGCGAAGATGGGATATGCGAGACAAGGGGCACAGATCTCCTTCAGGAGATGGGAGTGGTCAGCCTCTTCTGGTCTCCCAACCTACGATGAAAGGTATTGCCAGTGCATGAAGGTCTCCTGTGGTTCCAAACTGAGATATTCTTTTAGATCAAGAACCCCAATTAGTTGCCGAGCGAGCAACAGTCAATATACTTAATACGCAGTGGGAACCGTGCTCCCTACGGAGCTCGGCTATCAATAAGCATTTCGAGATACCTGCATCCCTAGCCACTTTGGCTGCAACTGCTGCGCATGGTCGAGGCCCAGATATACCGGGTCAATATGGTCAGAATGCGGGTCGACGGAGTATATTGGCTTGACTTTGTACTTTAGCGATGCGAATCACTTTGGTTGCTATGAATTTATGTTTGCCAAGAACAAACTGACCAATCTCTCTATTCTACATACAAAATGCCATTACCACATTAAATAACTATGTCTTATTCATCCTCCCGAATCGTCTCACTCCCTCCCTTCCGCCCTTTCTCTTCCGCGTGGTCAGTCGTCTGGGAAACCTCAGAATGACCTGCTCGCCGGATATCCAAGCTGTCGAGAGATTCATAAAAATGCGAAGACTGACCGCTCATCACGTTATCAATCGACAAGGGGGACGCCAATGACAGTGAAGAAGGGGGCCGGTTGTGGCCTTTTGGATAAGAGTACTCCGAATCCGTCTCACTAGCAGTCTGCGGTGAGACAGGAGACTGGGAGCCTCGTCTCGGATCGGGTTTGGGCCCATCGTCAGGTTCGGGTTTGGGAGGCCCGTCGTGGGCAAAGTAGGCGGTATTGAATGGCGTGGGAAGTTCAACAGGGGATGAATCTGGTGGACGTCAGGCTTAGTACCCCGCAGTATCTATTTCCTAGGGATCAAAAAAAGAAGGTTATCGACATACCATGCATCTCATATAGCGCATCTCCCCCGGATTCCACCGTGCCAGGGGTCGCAGGTGAGACGAGGGAATCTGGCACAGTTGAAGCCTGCGTTATAGATGGCTGGGCTGTCGACGGCTGCGTTCCCGTGGTATGCGTCGTCCGGATGGTCTCCGCCGTCTCCATGCCCGTCGATGAAGATACCGGCCCCGGTCCAGGGGAGGTTGGGCCGCTCGCATATACCCATTCTGGGGGACGGTCCTTGGGTTCAGCCTCTGCGGCTTCGGATTCAGCCTCCCGGGACTCGCGTTGCCGGTGACGTCGGCGATAAAAGAAGAGTCCGGCAAGGATTGCAATGACGAGCAGACCCAAGACCGCACCGATTACTCCACCAGCCCAGTTGGGGAATCCACTGCCCCCGCTGTGATCTTGTGTGGAGGCACTGCCGCTGGTGCTATTGTACGGCCAATATGTCTCGACAGTCTTGCCATATTTCTTGCCGAAAATGGCCTCTAGAGAGTTGTTGGTCCACGACGATGGGGTGGTGGTGGTTGCACCTCCATCGGAGCTAATAAGCTGTCAGCCATGATGATTTGCCTTCTGCACTGCTGGATCTATACTCACTTGCCGCCTATCCATTTTGTCACGAGATCCGGCACTTTGTACTTACTCCAATTTGTGGGATCATATTCATCCTCAAACTTCAGGGTGTTGAGATTGAAGTTGACAACGACACCACCCTCTAGGCAATGAGTTGAGTCGACATGCTGTCCTCCAACCGCCAGCATTTGATCAGGATATACTTTGATACATTCGTGACCGCTGCGACTGTGTGTGTTTGTACCATTGTATGCCTTGACCCACCTGAAAGAAGGCAGAGACAATATATATACGTCGTCCGACGGATTAGCGTTATAGTCGAGACCATCGTATCCTCCATAGATGTAGATATTATGAGAAGACCCATCAGCCGCACTCGCAAGCACAGAGCAGAACTCCGTCAACTGGGGCGGTATATCACCCGTCGTGTTCTGGAGATACCAGGTTTTACTCTCGACATCGAAGACGGAGACCGTCTTCATAAACGTCGGGCTAATCCTTTTGCTCTCTGCGGTCCTTGAAGAGTTTGCTTTGGCATTACGGAAAAACTGAATGGGTTCAACCACTCCGCCAATAGCCACTAAAACTCCAGACTCGGATACAGGTACCCAGACCAGTTCCGCGTTAGAACGAGCAGGAATATAACTCGGCAGTGTTTTGTTTGTCCATGTCCCGTCGCTCATGACTGACATGTCCAGGGTGATCAGCGTGTTGGCCGTTTGGTTAGATTGAAGCTGGTTCAAAGTGAAGTCGCCCCAGTCCGGCGCACGCATCCCACTGAAGTAAAAGCCTAGGTTCTCGCTTGGAGCCGACGCAGCAGCGCCATTGGTGATGTATCGCGTGACATTAGTGGGTAGATATTCTTGTTTCCAGTTGGGCGCCCAAGAGCTTCTATAAGTGCCATACTGGTGCGCAGCGTAGGACAGGACTTGATTAGCAGGAGGAGGATCGGAGCTCTCGGTATTACCAAGCATGCCTCTGCAATAAAGAGTCTCAGAGTCAGTGATTTATTGGAGCAGGAGACTAGGGAGGCCAACCCATAGAGATAGAACTCGTTGTTGTTGGCAAACATTGTGCCGTCAACGTAATTCGGAGCTATGCTAGCAGAACCGCCGACGACGGATATATTGCTGAGGAGATCCATGAAATTCGATTTGGTGTTGAAGGAAGTGGTGAGGTTCAGATAATAGATGGTCGCTTCCAAGTCTGCTTCTAGTTAGCTATGTATATATATCAACATCTATTTGGTCGTGCCTACTGTTATCAGGCTGGGGCTGGGCGCAACCATCGTCATATCCTCTGCAATTGTTAGTGAAAATTGGTATTTACCATGGGGAACATCGTACTTCTGATACCATAGCTCCCCGCCATCGAGGTAGATTGTATCGCGCAGGATGTTGGCTACCCGTGTCAGTAAAACAAAAGCCTGTCTAAAAAAAAGAAAAAGGAGCGCTTACCACGCAGGCCTTGCCAGCTGCACATAGAAACATTGATTTGAGTCGGAAACGTGCTACATACGGCCACTGCGCAGTCTATCACGACCAGCAGCATCAGCACCGTCTCCAAAAGAAAACACATTCTTCAATCGATAAAATGGCGGTTAAGCTCATCACTGAGTTGTCGCAATTTTACAAATGACAGGTCCCATCGACAGGTCTGATTTACTGCTGACATCTTGACAAAATGCAAAAAGCGAGGGGGCGGGTGTCTCTCGGAACTTGCGATGCGGCTTTGTCGATCTTCTTTGTTGTCAATTGCCCCCGCTCTGAATACGAAGCAGCTCGACAAGGAAAACATGAATGAATAAACGACGTGTATTGCCCAGGTGCGCCCGCTAAACTCGTGGTCCGACCGTTCTGATCATTACTGTAATCGTATTGTGTGCTTTAGTTGGGTCCCGATTGCGGTCGATGCATAATTGCAAAGGCTCGGAATATTATGTATTTTCCCTGTAATCTGCGTTCGCGATGGGGCTATGCTGAGTCTTCTGGGCTGATGCCCAGCGGGGGAGAATTTTGAGCCTCGAGCTATTGGGCGTTTCTTTCATTCAGAAAAGGGACTGTGCGTATGTATTGGACATGTATCTTCCCATTCCTTCGAGTGATTTTCTTTGTCTAGCTTGTTTACCTTGCTCGCCATCCCCGGAAGAATTTCTTCTACAGACAGGCAAAGATGAAGCCCGCGATCTCTCGGTTGTCGCTGTTGGCGATTATCTTCGGTTTGGTGACAACAAGTGACAGCAGTTTGATCAACAGAGCCCCCACGCTGCCGGCAGAAGAAGAGGATGGATTGACTGCCACAGTAGGAACCGGGTTTACACTTTGGCTTGGTGATGGCGAGTCTTGCGCCGCTGAAACTATCACCAAAACTTCTACGCAGACTGGAAACATTTCCCCAGGCTCCACCACAATTACTATCACTGAGGCTACTACCAAGATCATAAGTGGTTGTCGGAATGGCCCTACACTGAGTGCCAATGCCGATGTTGACATTGGACCGGTAGCTGTTTCTGCAAATGCCGCCGCAGCACTGCCCGGAAATGGACCTATAAAGACGATCACAGATTACACAACTAAGGTCATTACCCAGACATCGTGCTCATGCGCAGATGACTCAACTGCTACGCCGACCACCTCAAGCGCAACCGTGGCAATTACCTCGAGCGTACCTGAGGCAACTGACTCAACCGCGCCTGGGACGACCAGCTCAAGTGTACCTGAGACAACAACCTCGAGCATGCCCGGGACAACCACCCCAACGACGTCGACGGCTAGTGGTGATTTGACTACCACTCCCCCAGGCACGACGACTCCAACAACCACTACAGTGATAACCAGAACAACGTCGAGCTCTGAAAGAGTTACCACTGTTCCAGTGTCGATAACATCAGCGACCACTACCGGTGGTTCAACTGTCACTATTCCAAATACCACTGTCACTCTTCCGGGAACGACACTTCCAGGGACCACTGTCACGACAATCATTACTGAGTCTGCCACCAGCGTTACTACGTCGGATGGTAGTAGCACTTTACCCTGGTCAACCCATACCACAACTGTCACTATCCCAGGTACTTTGTCGCGCATGGAACATTGATTATTACTGCAACAGCTAATACTATTATTAGATTCACAAACAACAGAAATAGTCCCTTCATCTAGTACTGCCACCGTTACCGGGCCTGGTACAACCTTGACTCAGAGCTCTGGCAGCACAACGACGGTATCTGCCTCCGTATGCTCCAGTCTTATCAGCAATCCATCCTACACATCCCCGGCCGTGTCGCCAGATGACTATACCTGGGGGTGCGCACCCGGATATCTCTGCAAGCCACATCATACAGGGGACCGCTCGGAATGCACAGTTGAAGCAGGTCTTCCCGATCCCGGATACGTTTGCACCCCCTCAGACTGCATTGTGGCTCCGCCTTTGGACGTTCATCTGTCTTGGCAGTACAATGTCTCGAACAACTATTACAACCTCAACCCGGAGGACTTTGGTCTTAATTACTCTATCTTCCAGTTCTCGGAAGACTCAGGCGCAGCGAACGGTAAGCGCGACATGTCCTTATGGGACTTCGGTGTTGCCCAAAAGATGAAAAGGGTCGACATAACGAATATCCCTACTGTTTGTTACAATGATTGCAACGATGCTGCACGTGAGCCGCAAGCGCTTGGAAAGACACCTGAGCTTTGCGAGAGTGACTCGGCGTTCATGGAAAACCTGGATATTTGCGAGCAGTGCATTACCAACAACGCTGAACCTGGCTCTAATCAATATTCGTCCAGAATGTTGCCGACCTTTGCACAGTGGCTGAATTTCTGCTCCGATATGGTCACTTCCACAACAGGAGAAAGTGCCACTAGCACTAAAATGGAAATTACGGCGACGAGCACCCAGATCACCACTACTACTAGCACGGAAGCATCGACAGCAGCCACAACTACGAGTTCTCAAACTAGCAGCACTGAAGCTACGAGCACTGAGCCCACAAATCATTTTAACGATGAAAGCACTGCCACCACTGGGACCGAGGAAACATCCAGCCCAGTAGAGACAACTCAACTAGTCACTCCCATCACAACCTCAGCTTCCGGCTCAATTGTGACAACCTCGGTGTCAGGTTCACTTGTGACAGCTTCTTTCTCTGGATCTGTTCTAACAATCTCAACGTCAAACTCCCTCGTGACAAGCTCAGTACCTGGATCGATTGCGACGACATCAGTATCTGGCGTGCTTATCACAACATCATTGCCTGGTTCAATCAAGACTGTGTCAAGCACTCTGGAAACAGGTGGTGGCGATGACAGCACATCTCACAATGCTTCCGGTAGTCCATCGGGCTCGGTTCGCGGAAGTCAGACTAGTTCGGCAACTCCCTCTACATTTTCTCCGGCCTACAACGCGGCAAGATCTATGAGTATCCCTCATATTGGGTTAATAGGTCTTTTGTGGGCTGCTTTCGCGCCACTCCTTTAAAGTGATCTTATTTTTGCTTCGTTTGCTTGCCTTCGTCGGGAGTGTGTGACATCTGGTTCATCTTGGTAATGGTGGATTTATTAGCCCATTTTAATAGGGACTATCTCAATCAAAAAAAGAAGTACATAACTTCTGTGCTTTCTCTGAGAGCTTATACACTCCACTCAAGCCGAGTGATATAGAGCTGGAATATCCGAACTGAAATCTGGCCTTCAGTACCACTAAGGGGGCGATCAAGCAACCAATATCAAAGCCAGTCTCAGCGCTGAACTTGAATCATATGCTTAGCAACCAACAAGAATATACTTTTACACCAATAGCGTTAACCTATTCAACTGCAGATAGATTGTCACTTGTCAATTTCCCTTTCTATTCTTTTGTTCTCTGTCTTCCTGTGTAGGGCAGGACACTTGCCCTACCAATCGACATCCAATAATAATGTTATCTCACAAGAGTGACATAGAGAGACCTCCTAGGTTAATAATACTGACACAAAAAATTGTCACAAACAGCTTGTAATATGTGAATAAAATGAGTCACATAGTGTGTTCGGCCTGCACGTGGGGGCCAGCTGGGCAGAGAGAGCCCTGGGGCCCCGGCCTAACGATTGGCTGACCAATCTCCCCCCAGGACATCACCCACCTCCACCGGTTCCCCTCACCACCTAGGCATTTCACCCACATCAGCTTATCCAAAATGGCTCAGCAAAGTTTGTCGGACATATTAGCCACCGCTGCTCTGGACTTGACCCCTTATGAAACTCTATACAAGCATTTCCATACGCATCCCGAGCTTTCGCTACAAGAAAAGGCCACTTCTGAAACGATAGCCTCCCATTTATCCCAGCTCGGAGCCTATGAGATCCACACAAATATCGGAGGTTATGGTCTCGTAGGAGTTCTCAAGAATGGCACTGGAAAGACAATCCTTCTTCGGGCCGACATGGACGCGCTTCCAGTCAAGGAACTAACCGGCCTCCCTTACGCGAGTTCAGTGACCATGTCTGATGCGGACGGCAATGAAAAGCCAGTTATGCATGCTTGTGGTCATGATATGCACATCACATGTCTCCTCGCAGCTGCTGAAGTTCTGGCCCGTACACAGAATGCGTGGAGTGGGACTTTAATCGTACTTTTCCAGCCGAACGAAGAGCGGGGCGGAGGCGCTCAGGCCATGGTTGATGATGGACTCTATTCGATAATCCCCATGCCTGATTACGTCTTTGGTCAGCACGTCATGCGAATGCGAGCGGGAAGTGTTGGTTCCCGACCTGGCACCATCATGGCTGCTGCCGATAGCTTGAAAATCACTCTCTACGGCCGCGGCGGTCATGGGTCACAGCCGCATCAGACAGTAGACCCTGTGCTCCTTGCTGCGCATGTCGTTATTAGGCTTCAAGGCATTGTGAGTAGAGAAGTGGACGCGAATGATCTTGCTGTTGTGACGGTCGGGAGCCTACAGGCAGGGCAGACGGAAAATATCATTGCAGACCGAGCGGAAATTGGAATTGACTTTAGGACTGTCAAGTTGGAGACCCGGGAGAAAATAATTTCTGCTATCCGGCGCATCGTTGAGGCCGAGTGTGTTGCTAGTGGATCGCCGAAACCGCCGTTGTTCACACCAACGAGGCGGTTCCCGCCCACCGACAACGATAAACATGTGGCCTCACAACTAGCTGCATCTTTCGGAGATCATTTCAAGGACTTTGATAGTGATACTCCAAGGACCAATGTCAGTGAGGATTTCTCAACGTTGGGTACTTCCCAGGGGCTTCCTTGCTCTTTTTGGTTCATTGGAGGAATCGACCCGGAGCTCTGGGATAAGGGCCAGAGGAACGAAATTCCCAAGGAAGAGATACCTGGGAATCACTCGGCTCTTTTTGCCCCAGTGATCCAGCCAACGATGAAAACTGGGATGGATGCGTTGTGCATCGCGGCTTTGACCTTTTTGAAAAAGTGACCATCGTAAGCCCATGGTGGCTCTGCCCGCCTCCCTTGGCGGGTTGAAAAGCATTTGGCACTGTATATAATGAATTGCATTACTTGCAGATTTGACGGGAATTCTTGATTCCATATTGCATAGTGCTAATTGTTGCACAGGTATGACCGTTTTGCATAATGTGTATTCTATTCCTCTGCAATTTTATTCTATTCATCTTCATGCCGCAAGTCGTGGAAGCAGATATCCAGCTTATTTTTGATTTCTCATCCCCCACCTGTCATTGTTCAAAGCCAGCCAAGAAGGACACCACAGCCGAGGCAAAGGCCTTAGAATCATCCTGACTTTCCTGGCGATCATCCCCAACCTGCTCCAAGAACAACGCCAACTTCGACTCCTTCCATCCCATGACAGGCGCAGATTCCAAGCACATCTTGGTCATGCCAAAGGCATCCATTTCGTAATGACCCTGCACAGAGAGCACTCTGCCGGGGTGATAAAGTCCCTGAATAGGGCAGATTGGTGTACTTCCAATGTTAATCCACGGCGCGGGCAGCGAAACCGGCGGCGAGTCGGTAAGCGTAACAGCAGTTCCCTTCTCAACCGCCATCACCCGATCGCCGTGGAACATCTGAATACGCAGACGTCCCTCGGGAAGATCACCAAGCGCACCCGGGAACGACTTCACGAATGCCTTGTCCAATTGAACAGTATAAATTCCGACCTCACGGCCGAGCGGGCATTGCTCAACCCAGACGTCGCGGACCGGGTCATCCACATTGCGGACGAGAGCGTGCGAAATGAGCTGGTGGCCGAAACAGGTGCCGAGGATTCGGACTTCTGGGTATTGGTTGTAAACAGTCTTGACGAATTTCTCGAGTTCTTGCATCCATGGTGAATGGTCCATTTCGTATACGCCGGGCGAGCCGCCGGTGATCAAGACTGCGTCCACAGGGGATTGCACGGGTATTTGCTCCTCGCCTGCATGACCGCGGAGCTTGTATAGTTCTGGATAATGACCTCCTCTGATATCATATGGGGTGATCTGGACTTCGAGTTGCTCTTTCTCAGAGAACAAGGTCTCGTTCAGGCGTGATGCGGTCTCGCGGAGGATGGTTCGGAAGTGGGCACTGCAGAGTCCCCGAGCCTCGTATAGCTTGCGTGCTGGGATATCGACGTCTAGGACGGCAATGTGGATGTGGCGAACCATTTTTGCTATTGGGTGTTTAATTGATGGGATATTGGGATTATGGAGGGTGAAACTGGTGAAGTGAAGATTTCAACCTTGGGTGCACTGCTAAATAATATAATTTCCCCATACTAACTCCGACGCAGGATTGGAAATCATTTAGGTAAGACATAGCGTTGTGGAATGCAGGAATCCATCTAATAAAAAGGATCTCAGCAATAATTGACGGTTAGTTACTCCAACAAACTCCAACCATCACAGAAGTATTAGGTAAAAGCTAGTGCCGTTATTCGATGAGCTTATTTTTTCTTGATCCACAGTGTCTTACACCGAAGACTGTTTACATATTTTCTCCAATAACCTATTTCCACCGAAAATAAACCGGGTTTGTTCTGTTCAATATTGTACACTCTCTGCCTCGCGATAGCGGATGTACCGGACAACATTTGGCAAATCTTGGCTGCCCCTGAATGTCAGTTGTAACTACCAGATTTGCTATGATCTGAGGTATTCTGTTTCATTTTGAATGTCTTTTGAGTGTATCTGGGTGCCAGCTAGCTTCTCGCCTAAGAGCTTATTAAGGCTTAGCTTTCCGTTCTCGTGATCTCCCCTTGCTGCTTTTCGCTCAGTACAACTGAGCACGCCTGTGAGTCTTACATAATTGAAATTTCCAGCCCGCGCGCTGGGCATCATGTGAGCAGCCTTGGAACCCGATCCCACTTACTGACCACCTGAGCGCTCTGACCAGCGACCCGGAGCACAGCGGGAGAGCAGCTAAACCGCCAGCTCACCTTATAAAATGGATACTGGCCTAGGTAAGTACGGAGTATGGAGCATGTCTCCGGACTCAAGTTCGAGACATAATTGTGGACCATATCCACACCGACAAATCCGGGATCAACGGAGTAACCTTGGAAGCTACGGAGTTCCCTGGACGAGAAAGCGGAGCGGTGAGGAGAGCAGGCAGAACTATGTTGTAGATATTGAGCCAGGAGCGGGACCCAATTAGGAAGGCGGGTGGATGTAACTACTATGTCAACCTTGAAGTCCCCAAAAATATTAATCTCATAAAGATTGTTCGGGGCATTGCTACATTATGTATTCAGCGCCGGAATCTTGAGTATCATTTCGATCTCTTCATAATCATCATCAATATTCTCACAAGGTCCTCTTACTCGGCCTCTCAGAACCAAACGCTTTTACACTAACTTGAACACTTGTTTCCTGGTTCAAGTATGCATAGCTATGTAGGCGACTAGTACGATTTCCTATCCTATCCTTAGTAAAATATACAGCAAATATTGCTTTCACTGAATTAGTATATCCAAACTTATAATCGCACCAGGAAATATAATAATCATTATGCAAAGTTACGGATGCTCGCTTGTAATAGTAAGTTGTAATAACGATTGCCGGGAATTGATATACGAAGCAAGTAGACTCGAAGCCGTGTCTTGAATCTCTAAAGTACAGATAGGATTTCACTTTCAGGAAGCCACGTCAATCATCTTATCTGCCAGTTCGAGCAAAGTGTCGGCCATGACATCCATCTTAGTATCAAAGATATCAATGCACGACTCCTTCTCGTAAATTGAGCAGTAAGCACCACGGAAGCTGATTATTTTGAGATAGGTTAGCCAGGATATCTTCCTCGTTCCTTTGGAGCCACTGCAAAACTTACCCAGCTTTAACAGCTGCGCTCACATCCCACATGTGCGCCGCCACGAACCACTTTTGATCATCAGGAGCAAACTTATTCAGCATGGGCTGGTAAGATCCCATCGAAGGTTTGACCATATCAAGCGGGGACTCCAACGTGGACTCATACTTCATGAACTGATGGCAACTGACGAGGTTCTCAGCGGGCATTTCAAACCCGGCGCGCTTAAAGTAGCCGCCGACTCTTTCTGTGTCGCCCGTGGTCAAGCACCAGATGGTGAAACCGTTATTCCTCAATTTCTCCATCATGGCGCGGCAGTCTGGGCGGAGTTCCAGCTTTGAATACGCATCATGACATATGTCTCTTTCCTCGTCGGTCGCGAACGATCTCGGGTCTTGGATCCCGGACAGATATAAGACGCGGTAAAAGAGCGCCTTGAAGACTTTCTTGTATGGCACGTTCCGCTTGGACATGTGGAGCATTAAAGACTCAAGCTCGGCAGCTTGCATCCATGCAAAACCGAATATTTTGGCTGACAGTTGATGTGCTCGCAGTCGCGCGCCGAGTACCTCTTCGATGGTGTCGAGAAAGAAGTCGAATGACACACAAGTGCCAACCACGTCGAAAACGGCATGCTTCTGGGGGGAGATCATGTTGTGTATACAATATTTTCACCGATTGAATAAAATTGAACTGGCAGGCTGAAAGGATTCTTGGGATGCATACTGGTCCTGACCTTCTCAGGGTCATTTATTCAATGCCCTTCGCCAAGTCCATTAGGCCATTAGGATCATTGTCTGACTCCGGCACACCGCTATCCGACAATCTCCATTCCGCGGTCGAGATAAGAATGAGGTTTACTCCGTACATGTGAGCTCAGCAAAGAATGACGGACCCTGGCGGTGTGGGTACTCCGGGACTAACTATATCCGGCAACCAGCTATCTTCGGACCAAACCCACCTGGCCACTCCGGAGCTCCGGAGGGCCGTCACCTGACGATTAATTTGTTTCACTTGATATCATACATCCCAGTAAGGATTATGCGCGAAAACCGAATGTAAGGAACGCGAGAGTATCTGAGCTATCATTTTTGGCTAAGCCGACGGTACAAATAAAAAGTGACCGCCTGGGATATTCCAGTCATAATTTAAAGGAGTCTCGGTTGTTTGTCATGGAAGAGTTCAGATATACATTACACACTTTAAATTGTACAGGACAGTCTGTGTTTTCGGGGTTAGAGTAAAAACAGTGTTGACAATACGTCCATTCATAACTAGAGCAGGCCCACTACATGCACTTTATAGATCATGATCTATAAACTCCACACATAGAATGACTTAGAATATATTGAATTGACCGTCATAATCCATCTCTCGAAGTTAGGTAAACCCGAAGACTAATCTGGTAACTCCACTAGCAACTCGACAGATCTCATAGATATAACAATCCACGCTCAGTTCCATAGAATGTTCAGCCTGTGAAGACCTTTCTTTCGTTTTGGTTGCGGCTCCGGATTGCGATTGGCAATATCAATAAAAGGTTGAATTGGAATATCTTCCAAGGGGACGATCTTTGTCTTACGAACAAACTTGTACGCAAAATACATGATCAGGAAAAGAGGAATATTGATATAGGATGAGACGAATCCCTCGTTATCCCAGTGTCGTTTGATAAAAGTTGAGTACCCGCCTGTGATGAGGAGGATGGTGAGCATGAACAGCGAGGCCCAACTGATATATGGCTGAAGTGGTGTCGCCCACGGTAGAGACTTCCGAGAGATCCCTTGTTTCTTGCAGCCATAGTAAAAGCGAAGATACGTGACCAGGATAGTGAGCCAGTTGGTCAGAGTTGTGATGGAGACAAGGTCCTGTAGCCAATAAAACACGGTATTCGCAGTTGAGGAGAGCGACATGTATCCCAGACACATAAACAGACCGTAGAGCGAGATTGCGATCCAGGGGACAGAAAATCTGTTAAGTCGAGTGAAGAACTTTGGGGCTTTACCGTTCATCGCCAGCCCGAACAATACCCTGGACCCTCCGAGTATGCTCGAGTTTCCTGAAGACCACGCGGACGTGATAATGACAGCATTGATAATTGACGGCACTACCTTGATTCCAGCCAGGCTAGCTGCAATCACAAAGGGAGACTGAGAACCCGTTCCACTGGAATTGCTGAGTCTAGGCTCATTGGAGGGGACGACAAGGCCGACCATGAAGATTGAGACGACTAAAAGGAAGAGGTCAGATTTGGAAAAAAGAAAAGCCTTTTTTCTCATCGTGGAACTAACGTACCGTAGAAAATCAATATACGAAAGAAAATACGCTTGGCCGCCTGTGGAATAGCCTGTCTCGGCGATTTTGTCTCTCCGGCGGCAACAGTAATTGTTTCGATCCCTGAATAGGCGTAAAGGGCGCTATTCAGGGATGTCCAAACGCCGAGAAAGCGACCAAGAGCACCACCAATCCCAAGGTACTGAACGAAAGGGCCAGGATTGCGCCAGTATTCAAACCCAATAGTTTTATGGTCAGGACCGCCACCACAGGTGATAACAAGAGCCTGATTTATGCTTGTCAGCATTAAGCGCCGCCATGCCTTTAGAAATCAAGCCGAGCTCACCATTATATTGACGCCAATGATCAGCAAGATCTTGATCATGGAGAAAGTGAACTCCAGCTCCCCATATACCCTCACAAAGACTAAAGCGGTACACAACATGAGCAATCCAAAGATAGTGATCCAAATTGCACTATTGAGGTCAGACCAGAACTGCACTAGGACAGCGGCGGCCACAATCTCTGCGGGGATAGACACAAGGTAGGAATATACCACGTTGTAGCCGTTGGCAAACGCCAATGCCGGGTCAACAAAGTATTCGGCGTAACGGACTATTCCACCGTTCAAAGGAATAAGTGCGCCCATCTCGCCCATCGCGAGAGTTACCGTGCCGGCAACACAGCCCATGACCAAGTATCCTAGGAAGGCACCCAGGGGACCAGAACGCGAAATCGCTCGACCGGAACTGAGGAAGAGTCCTGTTCCGATAGTACCGGCTAAAGCGATCATTTGAATGTGTCTCTGATGAAGGCCTTGCCTCAAAGTCGAGATTTCTTCGAACTCTCCAACATATTCGTCTTCTGGCTGGATAGATGACTCCGGGTCCTGTATTGTGGTCTTGACGTCTTTGTGGAGTTCATCGACGGCGGGTGAGTCCTTGCCAAGGAAGGCCTTGATCGTGGACATCTTGATTTGCTTGGATGTCCCCGTTGAAGAGAGAAAAAAAGGATATTGGAAATATTGGGCGGTCTTTTCTGGATAGCGCAGGCTGCGACGTACCTCCAGGGACAATTTGGCTTCACCTTATAGCCATAATTGTTGGTGGCCATAGCGCTCTGAAGTCACCATTGGAAAACAGCTAGAGGGAGGACATGGAGACGTTGATTGGCAGATGGATGAAGATAGAAGATGGCAAGGACATAATCAGCAGATTTGAGTATCTTTTGAGATAAATGTTGACTGGGTGATATGAGATAGCAGCATACGAGTGATAAATGGGGTGAAGACTAACTCCGCAGAAAGGGATGACCGCAAAAGTCCACTCCGTGAGATAGTAGCTCCGACAGATAAGGTGTAATTACTTGATGTAGAACTAGCGTCTCGGAGTACCGACACCGAGTAACTCATAGCTAGGTCTAACACAACCGGAGATGCTTTTGTAGTACATTGCTCAAATTACGGACTGGGTGCAGCACAGTATAATTAATTGAGATTACTAGTTGGACTTTTTTCAGGTGGTCACTATGCCACGTCGTATGTATCTCGAAGGGGGAGCTTTCGTTGGTGATGCAAGACTACGAGATAATCCTAAGAACAGCCCAGCTCCATCACTCCGCCTCTCATTCTTCAATATACAATAAATATATCTCATCTCTTGATCGCGAGTATATCACCCCCAAAATGACCGTTCTTCGCCTTCTCGAGCCTATCCTTTGTCGTTTGAAACAGCCTCGGAACACCAGCATCTTCAAACTCGATCCCATTCTGAACCATCTTGGCAACTCCAAGCGCAGACAAGAATACCTGAGGCATTCCATGCCCATTAAATCCCGCAAGGACATACTGGCCATCCTCCCCAGGTACGGCGCCGACGTGGGGCAGGGAATCCCAGCTGTATCCCATGATCCCGGTCCAGATTTTATCCACTTGGGCCCCGCTGTCTTCCCAGCCATTGAAATGCCGCTGCATATAACCGTCGTAATGGTCTTTGACTTGCTCAATGAGACATGAATCGTCCACGTTGTCGTACCATGAACTCAAATCAGTGTAGTAACGTAAGTTGGCTCCACCGACAACAATGCTACCGTCAGCGCGTGGGATGAAGTATGACACAACATTGTCCTCTTCACGGACTATGTAGGAGTTGTTCAGCAGAGGCGCGCTTTTACCCTCGGGAACTGAAATATGAGTACACTGTCCTTTGCAGGGAACGATGGCTTCGCGGTACTGTGGAAGAAGACCCGATATGTAGGCATTATTCGCATACACGACTTTCCGAGCGACTGTCGTGCCTCGTGGGGTTGTAATAACAAAGCTTCCTGAAGATTGCCGAGTCACAGACGTCACTGCGGTGTGAGTCTGGAGGTTTACCAGCCCAGTTTCGAGAATAGAGGCGGTCAGATGAAGAATCAATTTGTACGGCCACAGAGTTGCTGCCGTGAAAGAAGCGCATGCTTTGGCGCCTTTGACTCCCGAGATACCCTCCGCATCCTTTCCAAGCACAAAGAAGACGTCCTTCATATATTCCAGGTCACGAGATGCCAGCGTGTCATACATCTCCTTAGCCTTTCGGGCAGTCTCTTCGTTGGACCATACATCGATAGACCTCGTGAGGGTAAAGTCACAGTCGATTTTCTCCTTTTCAACCAAGGCCTTTATGGCGTGTATATGTGCGATTTCAAATTCCGTCACCTCCAAGGCGCGTTCAACTCCTGCTCGGTCGATAAGCCTGGGCATGGGGGTGTACATGTCAGGCCTTAGGTGGCCACCATTTCGTCCTGTCGCGCCCGAACAGACACCCCGTGCTTCCAGTACTGTGACGGAGAGTTCGCTGTCACTGGCATCTCCTTTGACCAAATGGTACGCTGTACTAACTCCTGCATAACCGGCGCCTATGATGACGACGTCACTCGACACTGGAAGCTCCTCTGTGGTCCGGTGATCGTGCAGTTCGTGAATGTCTCGGTGCCAAAATGGCACAGTTGCGTTTTTGACAGGCTGCCGGGGTGTATTGAATGAGTCGTTTGGAGACATGGTCATCGAAGTGGAATTGATTGCTGCTGTTTGGCCTCTGAGGACTTGCGCAAGTTGATGAGCTAAGTTATCTCATGACCTGCTTTGTCGACGTTAAGTAATGGATGGGGTTCCAGTCTTGACCATCATTTGATAAGGATACTTTTGCATAAGATAACTAACTCCGATTCGTTGGTATTCAGTCACACCTGTGAAACGCCGTGACCTGCCCTTATCGACCCCGCAAACCCTTGTCGCGCCCGGTGCAGCCCACTCCGACGGAGTAAAAAGTACTCCGAACTGACCCAGGGGCTATCTTATCAGTTTCCCAGATAGCAAGGCATAATAAGAGACCATTGATGCATTCTAGACTGATGCGTTGGAAATGTCGGTTCGTTGAGATTGCTTAATACGGAAATGGCGGATTACTCTGTTCAAGCCAACCACCTTGAGTCCAATCAACGATGTTTAGCCAATCCATGTCGTTGAATGTGTTCTCGGGGTCAATATCATGCTCTCTGCCAGTCGCAGTAGGTACATTTTGCACTGGACATTGCTGATCTTGCGGACCATAGTGTGTCTGGGACCGCTGTTCGCTCGGCATCTGTGTTTGCAGGCCACCCGAGGAGCCCAAAGAATCAAATACAGCGTCAACGATTCGCTGTAGAACTGTCTTGAACTTCTTGCTAAGCTGCACATTGTTATCTGTAGGCCGTATCCAGTCAAGGAAGGCTCTGAACATAACCAGATTTTGAACGACTTCTGACCGCGAGAATTTAACACAGTCGCCAGCTGCGCCCGTTGATGAAGGTTCGGTCTGTTGCGCAGGTGGTACTAGACCACTCGCTCGGAGAAGCTCGACGCACAAAATTCCCGCACAGGGCATTCCGTATGATACTGCCTGGATGAATATCAGTTATTGCTGTATTCTGTTCAAGTAATTAGCTGGACTTCCCAGATACTTACAATCCAGTCAAAGGCATGGTGGAATTCCTGTAGCTGATCGCGGTTAAGCCAGAGAGACAGGATAACAGACATTGTCTCTTGGGCGATATCGAACAAGTCTTGGCCACCACTGAATTGCCGCACTACAAGTAGGCGCTGGAGCAGAAACTGACATTGCAATACATCAAGTCGTATGCGGGTGATAATATAGACTTCATGAGCTCTCCGTTCATGGAATCCCGAGCTTGACTGCGGGTGCCATTCAGAGTTCCCCTGATACTGAATGTGCGAAGGGTATGAAGCAACTATCTTCCCCAACTGGACTTGTAGGTCTCTGCAAAAAGGTTGAAGTTAGCGAAATGTATGCAAGATTGCTTCCAAACAACGCACTCTACCTGCGATTTGGTAAACTTCGAATTGACACTGAGAGTTAGTTCCAAGATTCCCTCCCGGATAGGACTAAGCATCGCCAGTGCTCTGAGCCATGTTGTTGTAAATATTTGACCATTCGTATTCCAGCCATTCGAGTCAAGGTTTCCAATGGCCATGGTCAGTCTTTCTCGGCCCCCATATACATCTTCCTCACATAAATCGAGTGGGAGAGGGCAATGGCAGTAACGGTTACTGAGCATTGGTGGTCGCGCATTGAACAAACTGTGACATTTGTCGTGGTAATACATCGACGAAGCGAGTGACGCTCGATGTTGGAAAAATGGGGTGAATTCCTTCGCAGGGGTGAGGCGGTGCAATCCTGCGCTTATAAAAGCACTGCGGACAGTTCCGTAGTCGACTCGTACGCGGTCACCTACGCTGAAATGAGCTTGATTCCATAATTTAGGATTTATGCTGATGGTTGCGACTCACTCTCGTCACTGATGATGATGCTCTGTAGTCTGGTGCTATTCTTCATGCAAATGACCATGGTATCACTGGTTTCAAAGTTCCCTTCGCAAAGCCTTACACAGGCAGTAGCACACTCTCTCATCTTTTCTGCGGCAGTGTTGCGATTCCGTCCACACTGCTCGGGTAGGTCAAATACCGGGTCCCACTCTTGTTTGCACCTGAACGCAATTCCAGCCCAGCTGAAGAGGATCCCAATCATTTCCCAATGCAGATGAGGTCCGCCAAACCAGTTCACCCAAGAAGCATGGTCGGAATTTCGTGCGTAATCGTATTCAGATGTTGAGTGAGGCCTCTTGTGGTTGAGAAATAGATCATTTGCCACTCTCCATACTGATTCCCGTGTCCGGAGCTCACCTAGCTCACTGGCGTATTCTGTCCATACTTGTTTCAAGCATTGCTGGATCATGGTGGGTGACAACCATACATCATAAATATGATTGATTCCTGTCATCAGCATTTCACATGTACGAGCAGTGGGGAAGTTAAGCAGTGTTCTGACAGCCAACTCCACGCGGGACCTGGCCATTACATCAGGTTCTCGGGCTAGGTCGTGGTGGTCGGAGTTCGTGGCATCAAGCATCACTGCACCAAAGCTATCTTGATTTTCGACAAAAACAGCAGAGAAGCGAGTCGTCTCGTGTTGGCCCAGCTGCTCTTGGAATAGCATGTTTCTTTTTGATGCGCTAGAACGGGCTGTTAGCCCCGAACTCGCAGCGGGGCTCGGATGCGCAGGGGAAAGAGAGATCTCCGCCCCTATGGAAGATTCGGTGGGAATCTGGAAGGTTGTGGAGACAGGATGAGTTGTTAGGAGGTCGGGCAGCGTCGAGTCGAACTGCATGGATGTGTGGGAGGTCGGAGGGCGCCGCTTGGTCATGGGAGCAGGGTGATAAATGCAGTCCAGGCTGCGCAGGACACAACGTGAACACCTTGGGCTTGCATGGTCACAGCGAACCTTGGCCTTGCGACACGGTTCGCAGGCTTGCGGTTGGCCATTATGGCGTTTTCTCGGTTCTGCGAGCATCGCGTCTCTTCTCAACGAGCTGAGTTCCCCTTATTGTTTACTAGCCAGGTAATCCACAAAAGATATCAAACATTTCTGAAGAGACAATGCTATCTCACGACTATCTTGTCAATGGGAACGAACCGAATCCAATAGAGTCAAAAGTACCACGATGCTATCGCAGCCGATAAGGGGGAGATTAACGTTATCTCCATCCACGGATGGACCTCGGATGTCCTCGTTTGGGAGCCAATCATATTGCCAGTACATTATTACCCAAATTGCGTAACAATACAGCGGCTTTCCATCCCAACACGGCTATACGTCCAAAACGAATGTATATAGTAGACTCCTAGGCATTTCTACCTACATATATGTAGGTATGTGGGAAAAGGGTTAAGCGCCAAAGCTAATCTTGTTGAAAGTGGAGTCGGATTTGTCCATACAAATATCTTGCATTACTTCGTATCCGACCTCCAAATCTACAGGGCTGGCAAGACTACTATAGTCAGTTGTCGGGGCTCGGTCCTTGGAACAAGTGGACTCGGAGTTAGATGACTAAGATCCTGATCCAGCCTTGGAGAGTACAACATACATTGTATGGAGTACTATTGATGTACAACATATAGATAGGTACAATATACATCTTCTATAGAGCTGAAGGATTGAAAATGGAGATCGTTTTCCTTGAATCGTCCTATAAATCTATTTAATATATACTGTAGCTTCTTTTCCGGTTTATTTAGCATTCGCATGTTAGAATACTGCACCCCCTAGGAATCAGACATCTATATCACATTGATATAGCGACACCCCATCGCATCTAGGCTCAATTTCTTTTCTCGGGTTGAAATGGTTGGGCAGAGTCTCATCGGTTAAATGGCGTTTTGTTGTAGGGGCCTTTCTCCCCCGAAGGGTTCACTCGCCCTCGTCGCTTCAGTACGCACTAAATCGGCCACCGAAAATGCACAATATGCCTAACTTCTCCGATTAAATCTTATTATTTCTATAAATATTTTGATGCTAGTTGGACCAAGGCTACCATTTTTTCTAGTGGTGGGAAAGTTCTCACTCATAGTTCTTTAGACCTCCTTACGCCATATCCTGAGACATTCGATCTCTTTGCTAGTCATGACCGAACGGACCGAACCGACAGATTCATCGCCCGAAGGCATAGGGGCTTTAGACATAGCTCAAAACTCCTGCCAAAGCACGGCTACTGTATCATTATCCGACCGTTCCAGAGAAAATACCCAATGGTTCATGGATAAGCACATGCGTCAAGTGGCTCGACTAAGTGCCAAAGAAAGACGAATCAACATGATGACGGCCGAGAATTGGCTAGCTCGATCTGGGCTCATCGATGCTTATAAACGTCATATCGAAAAGGATCTTTCTCCCTCCCACCTTTCCTACGCGGACGGGTTGGGTGGGGATGTAGAGCTTCTCCAAGCAGCTGCAGGATTCTTCAATCGATACTTCCATCCACATACTCCGGTCAAACCAAAACATATTGTGACAGGTGCGGGGTGCAGTTCCTTATTGGAAGGCGTTCTGTATGATGTTTGTGAACCGGGGGATGGGGTGTTGATTGAGACGCCGTTCTGGGGTAAGTCGTCATCAACTACCAGCACTCCACGCGACTAAATAATCGGAATCAAATTGACTGTGGATAACCAGGTGGGTTTGAGACTACCTTTGTGCTTCGCGCAAAAGTCCAAGCCGTCCATGTTCAAGTGCCTTCGGACCCATCTGTCCGAGATGTGGTTATCTCGTCATATATCTCCGCCTATGAGACCGCTATGGCAAATGCAAAGTGCACGATCAAGGCCATTCTGTTCTGCAACCCACATAATCCGCGAGGCAGTCTCTATTCAGCAACGTTGATAGAAGCCCTGTTGCAATTTGCGGAACGAAATAATCTGTATTTCCTTTCGGACGAGATTTATGCGTTGTCCACTTTCAATTCCTCCCCATGGAATACTGCTGCTGGGAGATTTGTGTCAGTTCTAGAAATGGACCTCGCTCAACTGAGAGTGCTCCCAGCCAGAGTGTGTGTACTGTATAGTATCAGTAAAGACTTGGGGAGTAGCGGTTTACGTCTGGTGAGTCAACCGAGGCAAATCTCTCTTTCTATTAAGTGACATACTTTAACATGTTTACTGTGCTTTATTTGCCAGGGATTCGCAATTACACAATCTCATCCTGATCTGCGGCTCTCATTGGCCATTTCTAATCACTCCAAGACATCAACTCTAACGTCAGTGGCAACTACAGCACTACTAAGAGACGAGGAGGGAACTATGAATTCGATTCTCGAACATAGCCGCCTGCAACTATGGAGGGCATCGCAAATCGTGGTGGAGTTCCTGTCATTCCACAAAATTCCCTTCTACTCACCCGTTGCCGGCGTGTACATCTGGGCCCGTCTGGGGCACTTGGAAGACACCTGGAAGGGTGAGGCGGACCTGAACGACAAGATGGAGGCGGCCGGGGTTTCTGTTGGGGCAGGACGTGGCTACAATGAAGCGCAGCCAGGATGGTTCCGGATTACATTCGCCCTTCCGGAAACCGAGCTGTTGGAAGGTCTGAGGAGAATTGAAGACGCGATGGGCTCCGAACACAAGTGGCAAGGGAAAGGAATACATTTAATAAAGCCAGGTCGAAGATTTACAGCGGAGAGGGAGATATCCTTTACCAGATCATGGGTCGCTTTGCCTTTGATGCAGCTGTGGTCTTACATACAACAGTACTTTTATACTTTCTAGAGCGAGGGGATCGTCAACGAATTGAACTTTATTCCACTAGAGCTGGTTCTTTTGCTAGACAGTAAGAAATCACAAATCTATGATTCGGAAAGCCCAGGGCATGATCAAACAGAACGTCGAAGTTTCAGTGGACTGTTTCATCGCTGACCTCAGGACGTCCACCAAATGCATTAGTAATAGCGACTGAGCTTAACTAGTTAGGTTAGTTACTGAAGATGGCTCTTGGGAGGTTTGTCATTGGCATACGGAGAATTATGGGGAACCTGAGATTGGGCGATATAGATCATCAAAGAGTTCATCCATTCCATTGATTGCATTCGTTGTAAATTGCATATACTTTTGCTGTTCTCAGCCTCATTCCGCTACAGGTTGCAGAATTGAAGTAGAACCGCAAAACGAGAATGCGCCAACAATAACCAGATAAGAAAGCAATACTCTTCCCTCACACAACCGGCTTCTGCGCCCAGACGATGTAGTGGCGAATTGCTGTTTCGTGCTGATTCATATCCTGTGAAAATCGTTCCGGTAAAGTCAGCCATTCCTCTTGAGAGAGGCCAAATGTTTCTGGGCTAGTAGAATGAAAGTTATATTGGTTAGCTTCCATGTTTGGACCCGGGGACTCTCTCTGCTTACCTAGTGACGGATTGAAAATAGTTCAGAATGGCAAGCATGTTCTTCCGCCCTCTCTCCCCCAACGCAGGGTCAGGATGCGCATTCCCAGCCACCATATCTCTGACTGAGACACCAATATTGACCCAACCAGCATGTTCGAGCCGACCAGCCAGCTTAGTCGACGCCATGTTATCCGCCATGACGTGACCAGTTAACTGATGTATCATTTGAAAGGCAGAAGTTTTGTCTTTGGGTCGGGAAACACAGGTGCTGAAGTCCGGTTCGACAAACTGGACCCAACCTCCCGGTTTGACGCATGAGAGTAAGTTTTGCAGAACTTGGGCAATCTCGTCTTCCTTGAAAAGCGAGATCACGAATCGTTCATGGACAAGGTCGAATGCATTCTTCCAAGCTGGAGAGAAGGGCTCAATCAGGTTCTGCACCGAGAGGGTCACCTTCGGGCCAAGGGTCTGAGTTGGCGGGAATAGGTCAGGTCTGTGGTGTATAGATCATCAACCCTTAGGATATGTTCTCTTCATCCCTCATAGAAGAGAGACTGCCATACGTACGCGATATCGAACCCCACAAATTCCGTTCCTGCTGGCATAATTGATTTTGCGTCCTGAATCCAGTAGCCTTTATAGAAGATATTGTTAATCAGTGGGGAGAAAAAGCTTCCGTGCTTCATTGTGGCATGACGTACCATCCGCAGTAGCAGCATCCAAGACCCGAAGATCTTTCCTGGTCATATCTAGTGGAGCTTTGATCAGACCGTCGGCGCATCCCTTCACCCATTCATGCTGGTTCTGCATTCGCTCAATTTCTTCCACATTATGGGGTAGGATATATCTTTCCCGGAGGCTTTGCACCTTTTCATCTAAAGCCGTGGTGATTGCCATTTTGCTATTGCGAAAAACTGGGAGTGAGGGAGTCACTTGGGACGTGTTTATTTTTCAACAAAAGCTCCTGCGTGTTGCAGAAGGTCCAGCTGCAGGGGGGGAGCTGACCTCTTTTAAAACAAGATCAGAATAAACAAGGAAGGGCGAGAAATGCTCAGGTCCCCCGGTTTTCGGGGACCGAAAGATTCTGCATGGATGCAAACTCAGTTGCTTGTTCCGAGTAGTGTAGGATCAGAATTCAGAGACATGGCTAGGTGATATTTAGCAAATTCCATCTGTAAAGGGATTTCGTTTGGGGAGGGGATCATAATAGCATGTTCGGGTGAAATCCATAAATCAGACACCAAAGTGACTCTGTATTTTGAAAAAAAAAAGGACCATCTTTCTGACAAGCAGCATCCAATAAAAGGAAGCCATATCGGCCGAGCCTGTACATATCATCTATATTCGACAATACACTGATCCAATAAATGACAAAGGCGGTTCTGTAGGACTACCAATGTGTTTCGAGCCTGGGCAACCTCTGAAGGATTTAGTGAGGTTCCATTGTATTCTACATCCGGAGCCTTGTGTGCCTGGGAAGAAGAACCATTGGCAAGTGAAGCCGACGGCATGGAGCATGGCATCGAACGTAGCAAATCCCACATGGGCCAGCACACCTCGAGCATCCTCCTGACCCCTGATCGGACTAGCGTAGACAGCACCTGAATCTGTTCCTGAACGTCTTCCTTGGCGGTGTGGTATACCCCCAATTGGGCTTGGATGGGTCCACCTCCTGTCCCTATTTTAGGAGGTGTGCTCTCCTCCCTAGTGGGAGGGATAGGAACAGTACTGAGATCCATCTTGCTGCTTGATTCCGAGCTTGAGCGGCGTTGCAGATGTTGAATCAAGCGGTCTACGCTGCCGGTCATGAGTTTCAGCGTGGTGACAACCAGGCTAATGCTCCCTGCATCCTTAGGGCAGAAGGGACAGTGACAGAATGTGATACACGCGCGCGCGGCGTCGCGGATCAAGACAAGCGATGCATCGTATCGCATCACATCTCGTGCGGTGATCTGACGAGATACAAGCGTACTCAAAGTCGATAAACAATGGCATTCCCCTTCCTCTTTCTTTAGTGGGATTGGCAGCTGGGAGCTAGTGGGGTGCTCGTCACCACTATAGTGCAGGTCTGGAAAATCCAGACACAAGTTGTGATCGGTGCTCGATTCAAAGGTAAACCGGTTGGCTCCATCTGCTTGCCCCCGATCTGATGAGCCGGTTGACCAATTCAAGTCGACGGTTTCGGAAACTGTCTCTGACTGCAACCAATCTAACGCGGAAGACCCTAGCCAGTCTGTGCAGGGCACGAGATCGGACGCTGTCTGGTTGAAGAGAAAATCGGACGGCGACCAGAATGTTTCGGATGATGGAACTGGAGAGGACGAGGAAGTAGATCGGGAGGTCGCAGAGTGCAGGTTGGTGTCATCCTCGGGCGGGATGGCGTGCTCCTCCCTCGGGGCGGAGTGGGAGTCTTCCGCCATGGCGGCCCTCTGTTCACGTTCCAGTGTCTTTCGGCAGCGGGATCCCTTGGGCTTTCCAGCACGCATGGAATAACTGTACGTGCATCTGGTCATGAATTCCTGGCAGCGACTGCAGGGGTTTCCACCGGCGCAGCGGGTTTTGCTCCGGTGGCAGCTGTCACAAGCAGAGCGAAATTTTCGAGGTTTGGGATCAACCCTGGAGGATACGGACCCTGGTTGCGACATTCCCATTACTGATGAGAAATATGGGCCCTTCTCGTCACCTCATACATCATCAACCCTTTAAATGCATTAAACCCCGCAGAATGCGCCCCCGCTGATCGTGACTGATGGGAGGAAAACTCCAATGGGTACCTTGTGCGGCTTATCAACGGCCAACACGATTTCAAAAAAAAGATCGACCAGTTAATTATGATATACAATATATGCATGTCAGACTCACAAAAAGCGACCTCGGAAAGTGTCCATTGTATATAAAGCGTAAGAGATTGACAGAATAATCTCGCACGACTCTTGGCACCAATTCCACTCTAGTGATTATACGACAAGAGGCAAGGGTTTGCAACGTAGTTCCTCATTTGATATGTATAATACCGTCGGACCTGCATGTCAGACTTGCATGAGGCAAAGTCTCCGAACAGCCTATAAGTCTCCGCGACCACCACGTGCTGTTCTCCCCTCGGCTGACTTTTCCACCCCGTCAAAGCCTAGAACACACTAAGTTAGCCACACGGGAGATCGACTGGACAATTAGAGTAGGTTTCGGCGTCCGAAATGCGGTGGAACGGGGATCATTCCGTTGTGGGGGGTGAAGAATGGGATATTGTGTCGGTGTCATGGAAATAAACCATATCTCGTATACGTATTTATATCTTGAAACGATAGCATTGTATAGAGATTTTCAGACTTTTCTCTTCGATCTGAACCTAAATCTAAATCTAAATCTAAATCTACCACAGTCATCTTTCGTTCGTTTCCCAATTCATTATGACGGACACTTCTGAGCACTCGGCTGACTATACATATGTCATGCCACATACCACCTCGGAGATACAACGACTCCGCAATCAGCATGACTGGATCAAGGCCTCGATGGGCGGCAAGTTGGTTTTTGCCCCAATTGAGCAGGAGCGACCCATGCATGTGTTAGATTCCGCTACTGCAGATGGTTCGTACCATTTTCCGAATAAGGAGACTGGCCGACATAATTGTATGCGAATTATTTTCTGATGCAGCTTAGGCTTTTGGTGCTTAGATGCGGCCAAAGAGTTCCCAGTGGGGTCGAACTTTGTCGCCTTCGATATCGGGTCAGTATTCTAATAGAATGCAGCAATGGCCGCCAAGATCAATATCAAGACTAATTAAATTGCCATGTATCAGGGATCACCTCTTTCCAGCACCCGATCAAGTTCCTGCTGAGATCAAACTCGTCAAGGCAAGCGTAACCGAGCCGTTCCCCGGCGACTGGACAGGCGCCTTCGATTTCGTCCACCAACGATTTCTATTTCCGTCTCTGCCCGAACATGAGCCAGCACTTGGTTATCTAATTGATGCGGTTAAACCAGGGGGGTGGGTTCAATTTGTTGAGGTGGACATGTTGACCTCGGCCAAGTCCGAGGCCTCACAGGAACACGAACGCCAGCAGGCCCCCGCCTTTACGGTCCTGCGCCAGCTTGCCAACAGCCTGCTGATCCACCCTACGGCTGCGGGTCAGATAGCTGGATGGGTCCGTCAGTACGATTTTGACGATGTGAAGGAGTCGACCTATGACATTGCGGCTGGAGTGGGAAATCCGGACACTGTTGCCGGGAGACTAGGCCGTACCAATTTGCTGCACGTGTTGGAGACCTTCATGGGTTACTACCGAAGTATGTATTGTCTCATGTCTCCCTTCCCCGCGTTATAGTGCATGTTCAATCTCTGACAATTTCCCCTTGCTAGGCGCCAAGGGAGACACCATGGGGTTGAGTGAGGCAGCGTGGGACGCTTTGCCTCGCGAATTGGCACGAGAGATGGACCTATTCCCCCTCACAGTGCGTATCAATGTTGTGATTGGCCGACGTTCGTTGTAAGGGGAGAGAGTCACCGAGCTGGATTATATTTCGCGGTCTCGACAACCTTGGAAGAGGCTAGTGGTGTGCAAACACCATTCATGCGCCTGCATCGAATGGTATTAGTGAAGAAATCCATTGGGGCTGATTCGGAGGAAAATCGAGTACCTTGTTTGATAACGGAGTACTCCGTGACTGTTATTGAACCAGAAAATATTTCCTGTATGTCAGCTTTCCTTCCCAGATCAGCAGTTTTCTCGATCAAGGAGAGGAGGCCTCAACAACCTTGATCTTCATCACAATCAAGCTCACAACGATGCTCAGTTATCCTTGTTGTATAAAGATTTTCGCGTCCTTCGTCATTGTGGAGTACATGGCGGTCGCACGGATGCAAGGGTGAAAGGTTAATCGACCAAGGATTTTGGCGGCGTGAAAATAGTATTTCTCCCTAAGACTTATTGGTATGAACCTAAAACCCCTAAATACTGTAGAAAAAGTAAAATTGAAACTGTCTAATCTCTTCATACATGGAAAGAAGGCCGTATTTATGTGCTTCTTTTTCGTATTCCCCCACTATGATAGATCAGAAAAGAAACAGTAAGAATCAACATGATGAATCGCAAAAATGAAGCCAAAGGGACTGAATGTAGCCTGATTTGAAAAGTCGAGGCGCCGATGCAGTGTGACAGCCATTCGTATACTGAAGCCAGCATGAGTATTGTCATGCATATGGCTGAAGACGCTAGTCTTTTGGCAGGAGTCAAATTTTGAGTTCTGCATACTGCAGATCTGCATCGAGATCCCCGGATTAGGGTTGACGTTGAAACCTAGAAATAGCATCTTAATGAGAATTAACTGCGATTTTCAACAATGTCCAGAAGTTGATTTTGGTATTGAAAAAAAAAAAAAAAAAGAGAAAAAAAGCAG